GGTTTTAGGGGCGTTTCTGGGGGGGTTGGGGGCGGGGTGGTGACGCGGTGTTGTCACCATCACCGCCCCCTGGTGACACGGCGATGTCCCCAGGGGGTAAGTATGTGCCAAGGGCCATCTTGGTGGACCTGGAGCCGGGCACCATGGACTCGGTGCGCTCAGGACCCTTCGGGCAGATCTTCCGGCCGGACAACTTCGTTTTTGGTGAGTCCCTGTGTCCCCCTGCTTTCCCATGGGGTCCCCTGTGTCCCCCCCCTCATGTCCTCGTAGGTGACCCAGGGGTGCCCATCATGGAAAGGTGGCATTTCTCTTCATTTGATGGCTGTGAGGCTCCTGCTGGTGGCCCTTCGGTGACCATCATTATGGGGTCGGGTGGTTGATCTCCACTGTCCCCACCGTGGTGGCCCATGGGGTCCTGGTGGTGGCTCATGGCTGCCCTTCCTATTGGAGGGACATGTCCCTACTTGATGGCCCTCAGGTGCTTGTCACAGTGGGGTGGCAGGTCTTTATTGTCCCCTTCTTGGTGGGCAGGGTCTTTCCCTGTGTCCCCAGAGCTGCCCCCACTTTGGTTCTCGGAGGGTTATTGGGGTCCCCGAAGGGGTTGGGGGTCCCCAAATCAGGGGGATGAGTGTCCCTTAGGAGATGGGTGTCTCTGAGGAGCTCAGGGTGCCCATGGGTGCACGGTGAAGGTCCATGAAGAGCTTAAGCTACCCAAGGGTGGAATGGAGGTCCCCAAAAAGGGTAACAAAAGGTCCCCAAGGTGCTTGGGGTTCCCCACGGAAAGGTAATGGAGGTCCTCAAGGAGTTTAAGGTTTCCAAGGACCAGCTGGAAGTCCCCAAGAAGAGGTATGGTGGTCTCTAAGAAGCTCAAGTGTGGACTGGAGGTCCCCAGGGGTTGGACAAAGGTCCCTGAGGTGTTCAGGGTGCCCAAGGGTGGCATAGAGATGGAGAAAGGAGAGAGATGGAGGTCCCCAAGGTCCTCAAGAGCGGCCTGGGGATCTCGAAGGAGGATGATGGGAGGTCCCCGAGGTGCTCAGGGTCCCCAAGGGTCAGGTAGAGATACCCAACAAGGGCGATGGAGGTGCTCAAGGTTCTTGAGGGTGGGATGGAGGTCCCCAAAGAGCTCAGGGTCCCCAGGGGTGTGCTGGAGGTCCTCCACAAGCTCAAGGGTGAGCAGGAGATAGGCAAGAAGCGCAATTAAAGTCCCCAAGGTGCTTGGTGTCCCCAGGGCTTTGCTAGATGTCTTCAAAGACAGTGATGGATGTCCCCAAGGCGCATAAAATCCCCACGTGGGCTGGAGGTCCCCAAGGAACCTAAGGTCCCCAAGGGCAGACTGGAAGTCACCATGGAGGTTACGGAGGTCCCCAAGGAGCATTAAGTCCCCAAGGGTGGGCTGGAAGTCACCGTGGAGGGTAACAGAGGTCCCCAGGGTTGGGATGGACGTCCCCAAGGAGGCTGATGGATGTCCTCAAGGGTGGGATTGAGGTCCCCATGGTGATCAAGATTGCTTTGAAGGTCCCCAGGGATGGGCTGAAGGTCCCCAATGTACTCCAGTTGGCCTGAAAGCCCCCAAAGACCTCAGTTTCCCCCCAGGGACCCCCTTCATGATGTCCCCACCGTGTCCCCACCCCAGGCCAGAGCGGCGCAGGCAACAACTGGGCCAAGGGCCACTACACGGAGGGGGCCGAACTGGTGGACTCGGTCCTGGACGTGGTGAGGAAGGAGGCGGAGAGCTGCGACTGCCT